AGGTTCACCAGTGGATGATTGCACAGATATCATTCAGACTAAGCTGTGACTGCGCGGGTCTATTCATTTTTCAGGTGATCCCGTGTAATGAAAATGTGTTCCACTGTGGCTGGCACATTGTCCTCTGACTATCTATAGTCATTTGTAACAAGTGTGGTACCCTCCCTCTGTTTTAGCTCTCAATCACTCACTTCACTGGGAGTGTAGTGGGTTCGGGACCTGATGCAGTCCCACTCCTTCCTTCGACTCCACCTACTGAGTAGTTCACAGGTACACTTGAGTCGGCTGCCCACGCTGACAGCACTACAGCCAGGGGGCCACCAGCTCACCGACCTGGGCTGACTTCATCTCCCATCACCCAGACATTCCCAGGGTTTGCAGTGCAACCGCGTCTTCCCCAAAGGTGGGTGTAGCTTTTTACATAATATTTCAAGTCACCTTTGCTCAGTTGCACCTGAACATCAGTCAGGGTAATAGTTTTCCTGAAGCAATGTTACTTAGTCCTCATGAAAAAGCTTTTGTTTCAGTTCCACAGAAAAAGTTAAATCTACCCCATTGTTTTCCTCTTCCATTCTGTATGTGTGTATCACCTACCTTTGTAGCCCTTTATTAGAGTCTTTGCAGGTAAATAAAGGCAGATATTGCATCTTCTCAAGACTGTTAAAAGCTCTGTGGGTGGGCAGGAAGGCTGGTTTATCTTGCGTGATTATCTTTGAAGTTCTGATCCTTGTGCACATCAGGGGAATTTTCCATCTCCCACGGGGATGATGGCAGCTCATCCCAGCTCTGGCTTCATGCTGTGCGCCACCAGCACCTCGGCAAGCCGCTCGCATGTCACAAGGCTACGGTCACCACTGGCAGCAAGGGACGCCTGACCTAGGTATGCACTAGTGGCTCTATGGAACAGGTAGGTGTTTCCCAGGATCACAGAATAAATATATTACTCAGTTACATAAGCACTGCTTCATGTCATTACTCTGCATTCCCTTCTTTATTATTGCCTAGTTCGGGCTCTTACAAGGATCTGGAGGGCCTGCCACCATGACCTGGCGTGTCCTGGTGGTGTGCCATGAAAATGTGCGGCTCATTTGAGGAACAGTCCAGACGGGAGGCATTGCAGGTAAAGGGTATGAAGAACAGATTAAAGAAGACATAAAAGCATAAATACTGAGTATAGACAAGTCATTGGTGAGGTAGGCGCCTTTTCACACTGGAGCACCACGTAGTTATTAAGGGAATCTGGGAAGAGGCTATTTTTCCACTAGTTTTCCTTATAATTCATCAAGTTGGTGGCGAACTGCAGTACATGTGCGGTGTGCTCTGTGTTAGCTCTAGTTTTTTCTTAGTGTAAACCATTTATTTATTTGTAATTGACATTTGCAAAATGTAAGCCTGTCCCAACACTAGCCAGTTTCAGCTTCAGAGTTGAGGATAATGCTGATTTTCTCTGTTTTGTATTACTTGAAATATAATATCTTTGGGTTTCGGGGAGTTAAAAAGTCTATAATTAAATGATCAAATTGGCGGCAATAATCAAATACAATTTGACGGGTCTTACAAATTAATTGGATAAGTATGCTATCATGCTTGCATAGGATTGTATTTCTTTTAAGTAATGAGTTTTATGAGCACATTTCTCATAAATTTAACTAAAAATCAAATAACCATGAACAATACTGTCCTTTATCCTTGGTAGCACATGGACATTCCAGTTGAAAAATAATAATCACATTATATGATTGTACACCTCAGAATGAGGCGTGTTCTCTTCCTGGAGTCCTGTTGAACCGCCATATTTCTGGAAGTAGCCAGAGACATCAGGACAATCCCAATATTGATTCTAATTATAGGTCTCATGTTTCTATTACAGCCATAGTTTGTCCCCCGTTTACCTTGTTTACTCTCCCACTAGATGCCACTTTAAATCCTACACAGGTCCCATAGCCAGCGGCTCTTATAACTCGAAATAACACATATCTAGTTATAACCAGTTCATTGTTATGTATTAGTTGCACTGGAAGTTGTTGTTTGCAGCGGTACGGATATTCCACTAATAATGTCATGATGTATCCTGTACCTTTATTTGTAGGTTGCGGTTCTATGTGATCATGACTAGTCAGAGAGGCTCTTCCCACGCCTCCCTGCTGACATGCGTAGCTTCAGAAGCTTCCTCAGATCCACCCTGATCCTGGTGAGGGCTCGGAGGAGGCTCCCCCAAGATCGATCCAGAAGGGTTGCGTGGTGCAAGCAGGGACCTCTGGGAAGAAACATCATGGAAGCTGAGGCCGCCTCAGTCCCCAGCGACGGCAATGAGTTTTGCCCTCTGGCGGGGGGCGGAGGCATCAGGGGCACCTGCTACCCATCCCCTCTGTTCCCTCTGCTCAACAACGAGGTGGCGTCAGCCACCGAGCAAGATCAGGCCGGCGTGGAGCAGGCCATGGGTCACTGCCGCAGGGATAACCTCTGGGGAGGCTGTTTCGAGGAGAGCACCTGGCCCTGGACAAACTAGAAGCTAAGCAAGCTGTGGTTTGGTGAGCTGGAGGGGCTGCTGGAGGCTGTGCAGAGCCGCTCAGTGGGGAGATCGACCCAGGCCTAGATAAAATTCCACTTAAGCTTTATTTCCCTTCATTTTAACCCTTCTAAGTTTTTAGGAGGAACTGGGCGGCCACCGTTCAGTAGAACTCAGATCTGAAGCACTGGTCTAGGGCACTGACTGGAGAATTGACTTAATATACATATTTTGATGGTGGGGGAAACAGGAGAGTTCAGCACTCAAAACTAATCTTTAGATGCACTATATCAGGAGGCCTGGTATATAATAATTTGAGGGTCTATCACAACCTGTAGTTTGTTTAAAAAAACATTGATAGATCATAGGTGTTGAGATCTGGAACATGGTGACATCTGACGGGTTCTCCACCTGAATTTTTAAAATGATTAGGCAAGGGCTACCTGTTGTAAACATTCATCACTTTGACCTGCTTGTACTTAGCCTCAGGGGTGTGACTGTTTTGGCCAGTCATAAAGTGAAGTCTCATGGTTTGGCTAGTAAGTCCTTAGACTCTAAAAGTCCCTAAATATTTCACTCAATAGAGACTAAAGGCTTTCTCTAGTTTTCGTTGCTCTAAAGAAGCAAGAGTTGTGTACCATGCACTAGTTGCTTGGGACATCCATTTTAAAGGTTTAAAGATTATCTCTGTGCCACAAGCTCCAATCATCTGGTATTGCGAGACCATGAGAGTCAGGGTCAGTGCTCAAGTCCCAAAGTGTGAGCGACCCAGTGTGGGGACCAAGTGGGTGGGGTTTACCCGACATCGAAGTGGTGAAGTTGCAGATTGCAACCAACTGAATACCACAGCTCAGCCTTTGCCATTATGCAGGAGAAAATGGTAGCGCATGAAACTCCAGAAAAACACAAAAGGCCCTATCTAGAGCCAGTGTTTGGTTTGTTTGTTATGGGCTGCTGAAGAAACATGACGGTTCAACATGCCGGTAGAAGAGGATAAGGATAATTCCTGCCGCCAACCACAGTGCTTACTGATGGAATCAGAATATATCTTATTTATTTATATATATATATGCCTACATATTTGTCAGGTTGATTTGTTGCTCGCCTTTTTCATCTTTGGGCTTAGAGGGTTATTAAATCATTCAAGTCAGTAGGCTAAAGTCCAAGTGGGTCACAAGTCATAGGGTGGTAAAGTCAGAGTTGCACTAGTGTCATATAAACTCTGACACGGCTGGAAGACAGCTAGAACACTGTATCTTATACTGAATGTCATTGACCTACACTTTCTTTTACCTCTTTATATGTAGCAGAGAACGGGTACTGTTTCTGGCGGTGCATCCAAAGGAATTAGGTTCCAGGTAGAGCTGGATAATGGATGCCTCATAAAGTGACTTTAAAATAACTGAATCACTACAGGAAACACTGCTACTAAGATGGAGGAAGGTATTAGGTGGTGAGCCAATATTTGGTCAAACGCCTGCATTACTTGTGATATCACTACTTGACTGCTCTTCCAAACAACCCTTTCTTTATATGTAAAATGATTCTGTTGTGTTTTGACTGATGTGGGGGTGGTAGACATGTTGCGCAGGCTCACATATCAGATAGCTGACAGATGCTGTTCACTGGCGCTTGTAATCAACCTAATACGAGGCACTGCCAGTATAGGAGCGTGTCTGATAGTGAATTGAAGAATGCCTCCACCCAAATACAATGGAGCTGAATGGTGAATAATAAACATCTCTTACCAAAAGATGTAGGTGCCACAAGCTAAATTTCATTGTGTTGGCTGATGGCAGCGAATAAACCAACCCTTCTTGATTTTAAGAAATATAAGAAGACTTAAAAATATACAGGCCTAGATTTCAGCATTTCATTCATTTCCTGTGAAAAACTAAATGCGATTGTAAGGTTATGATTTTATTTGAGATGCGAACTTTGAAGACCTGAACTCAAGCTGTATTCAAGGCCTTCACTGTGTGATAAACAGCCTTGTCCTGCATTACGAGAGGATGCAGTCGAACAGTGATGCAGTTAATAGGACAATGGTTAAATATCAAGGAGAAGAAAACACTGAATTTGTCAAAAGAAGCCTTTTAAGCATGTATGATTGTTAAAAAATGTGAAATATTTGTGACAATGATAGAAAGGGACCCCCTTAACAAAGGTTGTGAACCACTGATCTAGGTTATGTTTTTGTTGCAGTAGAGAATGTCACACAGTATCCAAATGAAAATGTTGGCGGTCACATACAACCATGACAGGAGGTAGACTTTATTAATCCAACAGGGTCATCCGTGTAAAACGTTTTTATAATCATATTTTGTATCCTAGCTGAATGTCAGGTACAGCAGAATGAAACACAGTCTTCAGATACAGTTTATGATGAATGAGCAGGCAGTTTGCTAGCAATGGCGGTGGGTGTTTGTGTTGCTGCAGGACTGTTTCCTGACCATGAGTCCAGCCTGGTACCAGAGTCTGATCAAGTCCTGCTGAACCGCTTCCCTCAGAGCTGCAGACACTTTGGCGACAACGGCATCCAGTACCTGGTGAGACCATGCTCCTTATTTCTGTTCTCTTTTTATGTGACAGCAAATGAGGCGTGGTCAGAAACAATGTTGGTGTTCTCTGGTGTTTAGTGGTTTCTTGTTTTGTTTGTATGTCACCAAGTCAGCCTCAGCATTCCTCTGGCTTCTGCTCGATGTAAGGATTGGGGACAATCATTTCATTGAAAGAATAGTCAATTGGGGCTGTGACAGCTCAGTACTTAAATGTAAAACGGGCTCTGGAGGGATTATTTTTATCTGGAAGAGGATTATTATTGGATCATTTGTGAAACTATTCACTCAATTTGTGAGAAGAGAGAAATCTGAGATCAAAAGAATTTCTGGGTACTGACAGACTATGACCACAGTCTGACCTCTCCCCCTCTGTCCTTTCCCTTTTTCCATTTTATTAGCTGCATCTTTTCTGTCTGATGTTTTCTGTAACTGGTTCAAAGGCACGTGTTGTTCACTGATCCATTTTGGGTCAACTCACAGTGGTGTGCTGTTTGTTCCTGACGGCTACAACAAAGCTTTCTGTACACTAGAACTCTAATTTAACAGCTCTGGCTGGAGTCTCTCCATGGCAACAGCCACTGAGACTCATGGGTAGAATAGTATTTTGTGCCAATTATATCACTTACACTTTACATCACCATACTGTTGTGCTTCAGAAATCTGGATGTACTTCTTTCTGCTCCTTCAGGCGGCCATTGCTTTGCATTCAATCTATTACACGCTCTGCTGTGTAAGCCTTCACAGTGAACATCAAATCTGGATTTGTGTTTTTCAGTGTTGTATAACTGTCAAGGTGGTAAAACTTCTCTTAGAATATGATTTCTCTGAATCAGTGTGTGTATAGTGTAAGGCTTCTCATAGTCAAGCAAATCCCATAATACACAAAATCAGTTCCTCGCTGACTGCTCTACTCTGACTCTCAGCTTCCATTGGTTCCCTACTGAAGTAAATCTAAAAAAAACACCCAACAACAGGTTTCCCACTCATCCTGGAAAATCTGGAAAATTTAGACACTAGTTTTCCAGCCATGAAAACACCTGGAAATTTATTAAAATGACCAAATATCCTGAAAATAATCTCTGTTGTCCTGGAAAATGTTGGCCCCTCACTCAGATTGCCTATGTAAACCTGGGTGCGTACACAGTTTGCTCCAGATCTACTAACTGCCAGTATTTTACCATTTGTCACAAAAAGTGTGTCCTTAATGTTTAACATCATAAAGATGAAATAAAAGAATCCTTGTAAGTAGACAACTTAACTTTGTAAAAAAAGTCGATCTAATCTCCAGTATATCTCTGTCTGCCATCTTGTTTCAGGCTGTTCTGAACCAAAAGTTCACTGACTGCTTTGTTTTGGTCTTTTTGGACACCCAAGCTGGAAAAACAGTGAGTTAATGTACTGATATGATTTATGTTATTATTTCACTATAGCTGTGCAAACATCTCGGGAGTGTTTCTTTTACATTTTCTTCCTCCCACAGAGTCTGAAGGTCGTGTTTCGGGGACCGTGCCGCCGCAGCCGCAAGCCAGCAACAGCCCCCTCCTCAGCTGGTGTCCATGTATCATCACCTGGAGTCTGTCATCAACACCGCCTGCTACAATCTCTGGACAGGACTGTTGTAGTATTGATCAGTGCTGGACTTAACCTCGACTCATGTCCATGTAACCACGATCAACACATGGAGACACGAGGCAACAGTGGAGGAAAACGGGTCAGCATTGGGAAGAGCAGCATACCGGATGAGTGAAGTTACCGTATTTCTGCAGTACCCTGTAGCACACAGGATGCATTCAGTAGAGAACTGACAAAAAAGACCAGAGTTTCCAAACAACAAACTCAACCCTGACATCTGTTAGCCCACCTAGCTCCAAACCAGTAGGAAAAAAATGTGATTAAAAACTAAATGGCTCCTAACTGGTGTGTAGAAACCCCCCATTAGCTGGTTCAGTGTCTTTAATCCTCTGATATACTTGCTTTTGACCAGGCATTCATGTGTGCATTATAACCACCACATAGCCTATGTCCTGGATTCCCTCAGACCGTTGTGTGTGTGTGTGTGCAGGAATTAACGCTGCACAAGATGGAATTAAACCCACAGAGGATGGTAGTAGTGTACGTGTGTCACCGTGTTAAGTTGGAATATGTGAAAATGTTCCAATGTCAGCCAGTGTCGGGCCCATCCTGATCTGCCTCACAGTGGGTAAACGTGTGAATCCACTAGTTCCTCGCAGTACGCAGCTGCAGCAGGACCAGTACCTCTCACATTGAAGCTGTATACTTTGTTAAAAAGCAAGTATATCACAAGCATTAGTTTCTCTGGGTACTGTGACATTTTTCACTGTGCACAATATATCTAAAACTGCCTACAATGCAGTTCATCGAGCCAGGCTAACAATGTATGTATTCCCTCAGTGTATCATTGTAGGGGCACAGCGCCTCCGCTAACGTCAGAAGAAATGGATGCACAATTCTGAAACATGATATTAAGCTTCAAAGAAAATTAGCAGACTTGCTACATGAAGCTGGCAGACACTGTGTTATATGTTGTGTCAAAGATGGGGTAGGTGAGCGAAAAATCCAATACTGATGACAAATACCAAGATATAGAGCCACAGCAAGTACTGTAGCTAACGTTAGCTATGTTGTGGGTTAGCAAGCTGTCGCTAATGTTGAGCACAAGAATAACAAGTTAGCGCTGTGTGGGTCGCTGACTGTGCACCTGGTTTAAACTGTTCAGAGCAGGGATAATTGGTTCAGAACTTAGGTGGTTCCCAGCTGGAACCAAAGTGGGCGTGTCATATTCCACAGGTCATTGTGCATTGTACAGCACCCTCTGTTGATGACGCATCCTTGATTATTATGGTTCCACTTACAGCACAGTGTTTCACTAGATAGCCCTTCCAAGCATTGGTTCAAGAACCAAAACTAATTTGATGGAAACACACTATATATTTGTTTCCCATTTACAAAGCCAGGGCTGCGTCGAGTCGAGCAATCGGACTGCAAGGAGATATTTGCTCAATTTTGAAGTGTATTTGATTAGAGTGGCATTACCTAGAAATGCTTACCCCACCCCCTAAACTTACACTACACATTATAATCAGCCTTTCTGCACTTTGATGTTCATATTGTACATATGTTCAACTGACAGGCCATGGCGTGCAGCTCACACTGAATGCACAGAACCTCCAGTCAGTTTTGACAATTCCAGTAACATTTAATAAAAAAGACCATGTCCCCCAAAGAGAGAAACGCAACTTTAGCTTTGTGCAATTCTACTATGAATGGAAAGTAAAAAGAATATGAAGCCAGAGCTGGAAGATACAGACAATATGGAGTCTGTTCTGCGGTGAGTCAGCAGTCTGAAACTGCCAAAATCTAAAGGATCATCCATGAGCCAGATTATTGATCATTCAGGCAATTAATCAGGTGCTGTGACCTTAATCTGAACGCCAAGTGACAACTGATGTGGCGGACGTTTGTCCCGATCTGGCGGATATTTGGGGCAACCAATCAAGGTTAAAATTGGGTTTAATAATCCACAAACTCTCTGCCAGGCTTTAGACAGCAAAGGCCACTTATTTAATGAGAGAGGCGATTACTTTGACCTTCATCTTGTAACTACATTGATAATGAGGATCAGGATCTCAGCAGGTGACGGATCCATCACATAAATTCAGTTCACAGTAATTAATCAGAGTAACACATGAAGATGTTGGGGAAATCAGCTTTTACAAGCTGGGAAAGGTAGAGGTAACCGGCTGGACCAGGGGGGCAGCATCGCCCACCACCTCAACTAAAGCTGGACATACACTGTACGATTTCGCAAAATAATGTTTAATTCCAACTCCTACTGTACGAGTAAATTGTCTGCGTTGTAAAGCCAAACTCACGACCTGAGAGCTTACAATGAAATGTGAAAATGAAAGAGCCCATTGGCCCCTGCAGACCGCTCTGTCTATTGACAATTGGCATTTGATGGATCCAAGGCAGGTCAAGGCTAGCAACTGGTAACAAACTGAACACACACAGAAACTGGGCTTAAACGGTACAGTGTATGCCCAGCTGAACACTTGAGCCAGTAATATTCAGTGTTTGAAAGATGCAGCTTGTGCTATAACTCCACCTGCAACTGAGCAGGTCTATGAAGTCTGAAGCGGACACCCTGTTGGGTCGGGTCCTCAGGGTTTTCAGGGATCAGGTCTGCCTGAAGTCTTTAAGCACGGAGCCTTTTACTGATCGGCTGACCATTCTGAGCAGTAAAAGTGGAAAGCAGATGAGATTTGTCCATCTCTCTGTGGATCAGGACCTGGAAGGTCTTGGAGTTCTGTGCTCTGACACATATTCTGATGACCTGGTGGTTAAGGAAACATTTTTACCAGTGGAGAAATCGCTGCTTGATTTCTTTCTCCTCATATTTCACTGCGAACCACTAAATGTTTATCAGCAGCCTGGGTTTACTGAATCTGATGCTTCAGCGTACGGTCATATATATGATGGATGTGTCCCACAAATCCGTTTGCTGGTTTGTCTGTTTTAGGGGTCAACCAAACACCAACTTGCTGTTGGTTGAGGCTGTGACTTCTCCAGTTAGAGTTCACCAATGTTGAGCTCCACGCACAACGCAGATGCTAATCTCTTTTACCACTGGAAGCAAAGGATTTATTCAAACTTTGCTTGCAGGGAATGAAAGTGAATTGGAGGATTCCCAGTGCATGTGTGACCGTGCTGAAATGCAACGCAAGCCAGTCATAAACAACCCACAATGAACACTTCTGGCTTTATAACTGCACAGGTTTCATACTCCACGGCTTCATTAATTGGTTTGATGTATCCTGTGCCTTCTGATAGTATTTTGCTAGCTCTTCATACAGTGTTTTATATGAGAGTCAGCTGAGATGTCAGGAGTGCAGAGTGGGAAGGCTTTTATGTTAGATTTTCAAAAGTGTCAAACCTGTTACTCACTTGAACCCCACTGCCGTATCTGGTGCCCTGAAGTGCCTTTCTCTGTTTACTTTCTCCTTTTTTCCCCCTTTTTTTTTTATTCTCTAACCTGTGAAGTGATACTGTTCATTCATTCCATCAGCTCTGCATAGAAGATCTTTGGAAACGCACACTCCTGATGTTATGCAGTGAAAGTGCCTAAGTCGGTTCAGAAAATGTGACAGAAATTGCCTTTCATAAGAAAGAAAATGGGTCACATTAACTTTGATGATTTGCATAATAGCATGCCACGTGTCATCAGTGCAGTGTTTCCAAAGCATGTTCAGGGTGATGAGTTTGACTTCTGTTGTGTATTCTGAAACAGTGCAGCTGGTAATCGCACCTCAATTTACAAGAGGGCGGAAGCCAAGACATCGCTACAAACAGAGGCTTGGTATTCGTCACAGTACCTTGATTAATGACATACTCAACGGCCTTAGATTTCTACACCTTTTCACTGGAAGGAAACCAAATACGTGTTTGAGCTTCTTCGTGGATGTAAAATGAAGAAATGTTGAGCAAAGCAGCGCTGTCACTGCTCAGTCTGAATGTTAAACACTAGACATTCATCGTGCAAAATGTGAACTGTAACAAGTTAGCCCATAGCTTTTTGACTCTGTGATATAAACACTGCACTGTCCCTAACTGTATAATGTATATTATGTATATACACAGAAGACTTTATACAGTATGTGAAATGCTAAATAAAGCAGTACGATGAATAAGAATGTGTTGAATTGTTTTCACATTAACACAAATACTGTGGGAATTTGAGATGGAATAAAGTCTTTGCTTATGATTAAGGGGAAATAAACCTCTACGATAAATGACTACACTGCACTAACTTGAGTCAGCTGATAAATTTGATCAATAATTTGGGACTAGTTTGGATTTTTCATCGGTAAAAGATGACCCAAAGGACTGGTGTGGCAGCTAGCAGTGCAGTTGCAGATTCCAACTCCCTCCATCAGCCTCCCATTCCAAGCTGAGGGGAAACTACAGTGGCTGCAAAACTCGTGACAAAAGCGGAAGGCCCTATCGAGAGCCTGTAGGTTTGTCCATTCTGGGCTACTGTAGAAACATGACTGTTCAACATGGTGGACTCTGTAGAAGAGGACCCGCTCCCTCTGTAGTTAAAAACAGCTCATTCTAAGGTGACAAAAACACAGTGATTCTCATTTTCCGGTGATTATACACTGATGAAAACATAACTATCAATATTATATTCCATTTCTGACATAGATCCTCTTCAGTATTACACACTGGACCTTTTCATAGACAGCTCACAGTCTAACAGGGTTCCCACTATTTTGAGAAAGCATTTCCCAGGAGTATTCTTGATAATACAGGACAGCACTTGCTAACAAAGTCATATAATTTACCGGCAGACCTTGTAATGATACATTTAACCCAGATTTATTACATACATGACCAGCACAGGTAACAGTTCAAATTAAGTAGAATTTAATTTATTTTATAGAATATTAATCTTCTTCACCTATTAGTCTATCAAAAGCAG